TTCTGCAAACGATTCCTGTCGCATAAGACAACTCCGTCGAGTCTTTCCCGGAATTCTCGGTACATTCTTTCCGTGTGTCATGACACTCTACTGCCAGATGCCAGTCTGCGTCCTAGAGAAGGATAACTCGGTGATTACAAGAAGCCAAGGGTTACAATCGTGAAGGTTCTGATTCTGGGCGTCTCGTTCTTGTGAGAGGGAGGATGCGTGAAGCGTCAGTGGACATGGCAAAAGTGTCCATATGTAGTAGATTACATGACTCCAGCAAAATCTGATGTACATGGGAAATGAGTAGTCTGCTAAGGACCAGGAGGATGAGGCAGAACTCTGGGGGGCAGGCAGCGCCTCTGACCACATGGAAGTTCAGGGACGGTCAAGTTGGAAAACCTATCTGGCTCTACAAGGGTAGTGGAGCGGGAGGGATACTTGTGAACTTGATCGACCTTTTGACGGAGGGTCTGGAAATCTATTATCAATGCGCCTAAGCACATAGTTCGCGTGATCCTTGCCGCTCCTGAGTGATCCATCGTCCGTGTCAATCCAAACAGCTAGAAGAGACCACTGGCGAACCGAAGCTTGATGACGACTCTCACAAGTACTAGCTGCGCAACCGGCAAGGTCTTGGCTGAGTAGCTCTCACGAAGGCCTCATGGCTCGATGAGTCCGGCGACACTTGCGGGCTGATCTCTACTATGCTAATGCATTCAATTCACACCAAACCTCAGGCTCATTTTAAGGCTTCACTCTATGAGAGAGGTCAAGTGTAATATTAGAAAGTACACATCGAAGCGCCTAGATTATGGTCGAAATACGTGGTTGAATGCGTAGCTCACTAAAACATGTTTGCAATATTGCTGATGACACAAATGTGGCAAGGAAGATGAGTCTATGGGAGATATTCAGTCTGGTATTGCTGATAATAAGTCGCAAATTCTCTCTGCATGTCGTGTCATTGGAATGACCAAACGGAGACACGATGCTTCAGAGATCGCTGAAACCAGCCCTCCGGCAGAGATCACGACTCATGAATCTTTCTCTGAGCCCAAAGTACCTCCCCGAGCGATAATTGATGCCAAGAGAGTGAGTGTGCAGGCATCATGATCCAGGACTGTTTTTTACCCGACTCCTCGCCTGCTATGCATTCTACCTTCACACAAACTCATTTCGACATCACTCTCCATTGACGCCGTCACATGTCCTTGTTGTTGCATGTGCGTTCTGCCCTTCTCGACTGTGAACTGTGCTCTCATGAGTACTTCTACCTCGTCGACATAGTTGAGAACATCAAGCGGATGTCGTGTCTGCGCCATGTAATATATCTAGCGAGATGAGATATGCGCAGTGCATCTTCACACACGATCGTGAAAGCCGCCCGGAAGAAAAGAGGTGACAAGGTGATTTCATTGAAGGCAAGCTCACACGATCTTATTGACCTTGCTCACCATGATCTACGCAACTGGGCTCATTCTGTTCCAGACGACGTGGCGGAAACGGCTCAGCAACATGAAGATAAGGTAATGAAAGCAGGAACAACAGCCCCAATGCGGTTTGTGGTCAGTCACCGATAATTAGTGCCGACTTGCTCATGCAGTGAATCTAGGATGACCAGCTGTATCTGACATTGTTGGTTGAAGTTTGTCAGGCGGCACTCAAGCCGAGACCAGATATATTTGTCGAGGGAGCCAGCATCGTGAACTACCTCTTGGATGTGACAGTAACGGTGAGCTGGCACGAGATTGTTGTGAGCTCAACCCACAGCCCCCGTTCGTCATGAGTCTGCTACTTGTTTTGCCCTTAAACCATTCGAGTCACTGCTGCCTGTTCAGAATATAATGATTGGCGGCGAGTCTGCGCTTGTGGAAGATCTAAATCATGAAAATGATTGATGCGGCAACAGTAAAATGCTGGCAGATGACTGCTGTAAGCCTTTGATGCGGATGGGATGAGATGAAATCCAACGCTACCGCAACGGCGTCCAGGGCTCCAGATGTTTCTCATCTCCCGGATAGACCCTTCAGCTTGAAAGGTCAGACGACGAAGCTCAAGCGCGATCCAGATTGTCGGCGACGACGAAGCGAAGGCTGCTTGATTCAAGCTCTGAAGATATCTGAAAGGCAAGAAGAAAGTATTGCGAGGTACGCGTATTCACATTTGCCTTCGCACGTTGAGAGCTTCAACATGACGCGACGATGTTGTGTTGGCTAGTAATAGTCTGGAGCAGTGGAGTGCGTGAAATAGGGATGCATGCGATGCCCCAACGGCCGATGAATGCGTGACATTAGTCGTACCTTGGTGACGGAAATTAAAGGTAGACAGACCCTGGGCGAGTACTGCTTCTTTCGAAAAAAGATCGGCATTGACTGCCGCGAAGAACCAGGAGTGTGACGTGATTATGAGGTGCTGATATGAGAATCGCAATCATTCGGGAATACACAGGTGTCTAACTCGAAAGAAGAGAAGCAGATGAATGAAGACAACGCTGGGCGCGTGATGATATGAAGACAAAGACAGACGCACTGAGTAGGAGGCACAAGTGGAGGCGATGCATCGTTGGGGGACGGAAAAGCTCGAGGTTAGTTATGAAGGGGTTTCTCATGGCTTGCTTGATTCTTGACGTCGGCGACGTTGCGTGTTGGCGAGCGGGTACTATTCCTTTTCAGCTACAGTCTTTGCAATAGAGTGTCAAGGAGAACTCGAGAGTTGTTCTATATTAGATGGGGGAGACACTTGAGGAAGTGCTACCAATAGGTTGAGATAGCAGACGATAGATCATCGCTTAATGCACTTCAATATGAGAGATACTGAAGTGTCAAGTTAGACAAATCAGGCATCTTCTTATGACTTCGAACCAAGATAAACTTTAGCCCTGTTGGGGTAACGCTGAGACCCAGCAGGGCCTCTTCTAGCTGTCGGGCAATTGGATGGCTCGTAACAGAGGATCGAGACTCGGGTTGTGTCCTGGTACAAGTGTCCAGCTTCACTTCGTTTAGATACCGAGAGAGCCGTGGGAGGCCAACCTTCTTACTGAGGGAACATTGGCTTGCAAAGCGTTGAGGAGAACTGAGCGTCGCAAGGAGATTTGCAACCAATGTTCAATCACGAAACGCAATGATGCATCGACCTCGTGCAACTACTTGGCGAGACAACAATCCAGCAGTCAGCACGTGGGAGCTGAAACTGCTACTGAAAGCGAGAGAAGTAGTATCGCCGTTGACATTGACCCTGAAGACCAGAAAGACTTCGCCTTGACCGAGCCGCCAGCAACAGCATGAGCTCCGAGGCAACTGGTAAACTGTGACGTTGATCCCAGTAGAGCGGAATGTACCAAACCCCAGGGGTGCACCACCGGGAGCTCTTGGCACTACCAGCATCCCTCCGCTCCATCACGTCCAGATTATCAACAATGTCCACAGTGATAAAGGGCTGCATTGCTTCTGGCTTCGAACCGGCTGCACGCTTTCATCGCCGGACTCGGTCTGTAGGGTCGGAAAAGAGACATTTTGTCGCTTGGGGAGACATTGGAGGCTACGAGATGCAGGCATCAGAGCGATAAGTCTATGATCCAGTGGCGTGCAATGGGGACTTGTAGACAAGGTCTGAGATTGAAGGAAAAGAAAAACACAAGCGCCGTGCATGCGTCCGCGAGATCAGAGCACTCAGCGCTTAGGCTGCGAGAGTGAGTCTAGAATTTTGCCAACGCCAGACCAATCCTGTCTGAAGCACAGCAAAACGTCCGCAATCGCCTACCCGTGGCTGCACACGGGAAGGAGGTCGGCTGTCGTATGGTGGGATGGACTGGGACATTTTCATGTCCGCGATCGTTACGACCGTGAACGAGAACGCCACTGGTTACCAGGGCGGCATCACTTGGAGGAGCAGCGCAGAGGGACGATGCCTCTCAAAAGCTCCCACAGCAGTGGGAGCTTTTGGACTTGGGGCCCCACTGAGTCCGACGGCCATCCGGGTAATGCACAGGCACAGCGTATGCATTTAATGCAGATGCACTGATGCTGTTGATTTAAGTGGATCATTGTACACGCTCAGGAGCATAATGACCTACTTTTATGAACCCGCCCACATACGGAAAGAGTCAGAGGCAAAATGGAAGGCACCTGAGGTACGTACACTGTAGGGGACACCTGCATTTACATACGGAAAGGTACCTAGACCCTTGCCAGCAGCCCTTCGATGTCTCGAAAAACCACAAGGCCAACTTTCCAACTGCACCTCCAACAGCACCCCCAGCGCAAGCGGGAAAACGAAGATTGCACAGCTCTGCGCCAGCGGACCCGAGTCGACGCATTTGATCTGATGCAGCTCCCTACGTACGATGATCTCGGCTAGGTATGCGTTACTGCTCCGTCCTTTCTGTGCTGGCTTGACCGCCGCTGATTGTCATCACTGCAGGCCGCCACACCCCTCCCATGACGTTGAATCCGAGCCTTCCATGCACAAGTCGGCCCATCTCACGATCTCGGTCCGTCGAGGTCTTCATCCGCAACGACGCCATCGATACAGCCATGCTTTGGCTTTCCCCTACGGCAGATGGGGTGTTTGCTTCCTATTCTCGGCCAGCAACATAATGGCCTGCGACGTCTGATGGTTTCAAAGGCTCGAAGGTGCAATCAAAAAAACTCTCGGATGGAGCGGCTGGCCGATCCGAGTCGTGATGTCAACGATGCGTCCTTGATTTCGGCAGCGCACTCCTCGACTTCATCATCCTTGGCCTTGGTGATGCCCTGCTCGGCTTCGTTTTTTCCCACCCTGGCCATTCTGGACGGTTGCCCTATTTACTTACACACTGCTACCAGAAGACCATCTTCTCCGAGGGCTTTCCATGACATTGCCGCAAAGAGCTGTCGCTCTATTTCTCCCAACGTGAGTTCTGGAAAAGGCTCCGGCGATATCTGCGGTCGCTGCCCTTCATCCTCGACGTTGTTCAGAAGAGAGAGGAAGAATGTGGAGAGCCGCTCTTCAGCCTGTTATACGGCGTCTTTCATCTAGGAGCCATCAGCTCTCTTTAGCTGCAGGATCTTGTCAAAAGATGCCCCTTTGCTGGCGTCGAGGTAATTCGCGGTCTTCCAAATATTGGAGTTATCGGCCAGAAAGTCCTTCCAGTGGGTGTGGATCTGCCGGAGCTGGGTCAGGTCTGCCGTCCACCATCTCTTGGCATATCGGGACGGCTTGGTTGTCGGTGTCAGTGCCTCTACTGCCTCGCACACAGCCGACATCAGTCGATCCGTCTGCTCTTGCACCGTGCCTCCAGACGGCGCCTGCCGAAGACTCGCTTCTATCTTCTCGTTGATCTGCCTCCATGGCGAATTCTTGAGTAGCAGTCAGGGACGACTTTCCGTCTCGGGTGCCGCAATGTCAAAAATTGTCTCAATCGCGCGGTAATCCGAGCCGTGGTCCGTCTGATATATTCCACATTGTGCAACTGTCTTGGCCATCTCCTCAGATGCAAGAGATAGGTCAATCGTCACTGGTGCCTCGTTCTTCTCCCACGTCTTCGTGCCCCGTGGGAGGATCGGAGCGAGTACTCGCTCATCAGATCGATGATCGGATTCGCCTCGCCCTGCCGGTCTTCTGACATATCAACGCCTTCCCACAGGTATTCGTACCGATTGAAGTCCCCCACAAGGACCGCGTCCACCCTTTATCTGTTCCTTCTCGTACATTCGTGATGGATCGCCTCAGCAGGCCGCACGCCTGCCGAAGCATCTCCGGGTCCTACACCGCCACAGATACCGATGCTACCAGCAAGTTTTGATCCGGAAGCCGGACGACGGCCGCCGTAATGTCCGGTGATGCTATCGGCACCTGTTCCGCCTCTACCTTTCTTTCTTCCCTTCTAACTTTTCTTCTTCGCAGTTAGCCGCCTGGAGACGCACCTTGTTGACTGCCGTGTGACTCTCACGGGGAAATATTCGAGGGCCAGGATGGCTCACAGAGAAACCTCTATGGCTTCTTTGTTCAAACACAGCAAACTCCTGATCCCACATCTTTCCTCTTCTCTCCACGCCATCGGCATCATCCTCGTCCACCTACTACGTTCAATCGGGACTGTCTGTAATGACCTTACCTTCTCTCTTCCGTACTCACAGCTCCTTCACTGCCATGGCCGTGAAGTCACGCAACGCCTCGTCGTTCGTCAAACTCTCATGGACTGCAGCCTGCTTCTTCACATTGAGCTGAAGGATTTGGACCTTCCTACTCATGGGACCGCGGATACAGCTTCGGGCAGTTCCTGTTGAACGACTTATGCGGTCCGCTACAGGACACGCATTTCACGCTCGTCTCACGGCATTTGATGTAGCGGTGGTCTTCCTTGGCACAGTGTCCAAATGGCCAGGTCGAAGAACATGCGGATCGGCAGCTTCGTAAGCTTTTCAATGGTCTCCAATACGTGTAGCTGTACAACTCCTTTCACTCCACCACCATCCAAGACCAGAACCCGACAGCCAGCGGTGATCGGCTTTTGGCGAGTCGCGCATCCACAAGCAAACAACACACCACACCATACGCACGGATCAAACGCCGTCACCATTCCTGTTGTAGGACGACCATAGCTCCGACATCATGTCTCGCACACGGCATATTTACATGGCAGGAAGATGTCCGCTGGTCTGACGAAGCATAGGAGGCAAAGATCGGAGGACCGAACGTTGGCGATACTGGGTTGATGCTCTCTCAACAGTTCGACACGAGACTTCTGGTAGTGTTGCGGCGTGTGACTGAGTGCGTTCTCTGCTATCTCTGCCACACGGGAGGCGACTACAGCCATGCCATGGGCCGCGGGGACTGCTCGCTGGCGGCTGAGTGCTTTCGTCACGATGCGTCGATGCAGCTCGTCAAAGACCGCCCTCACGTGAAAGCCTGCGTTTCAATGTCAGCAGTGAAGATTGAGAGCTATGCCACGCCGTCTAACCCTTGTATGATATCGCTGTATCTACTGCAATGGCGTGCGCGAGTATCGGTAGCCTCATCTGCAAAGCCTCGTCCTCCGATGTAGCCTGCTCTATCCAAGAACACCAGGCCACGGCGAGCTACTCGGTTGCCTCTTTCAAGGGTTTCTTTCGGCGTCTGTTCAAGGTCGAGACGAGGCGACGGAAATTGACCCGTCAGCTGTCGTAGAAGACCGCGCGACAGCTTGAACATGGTGTTCCAGTCCCACAAGAGATGGTCTCTAGCCTTAGACAGCATTTCGTGGCTCTAATACCCACTGCACAAGCGGCGAAGCACGATGCCTGGCGCATGGCGGGGAGCATCCTCCCTATGCACATGAGTGGGCCGTTACCACAGTCCCTTGGTTTACTGAACAGCTGTATTGCTCGGGTGAGCCACTCAGTGCACTCGCGCTTGACCGCCGACATTCAAATGAAGCGAAATATGACACCGTGGACGTCAGATCAGATGCCAATGCTTCATGTCAGATTCAACGTTGTCGTCCTGTCACGCGGCATGAGCTGTGCAACGCCAGCACGGCGATTTCTCAGCGATCGCGGAGGCCGGCCCTCACACAAACACCTGAGGTCCATCAAGCCGAGCAAGCGACGTAAGAATTTTGTCTTCTGCAGTTGTTGCCACCACCTTGCCATGAGAGCCTGCCCTAAATTCGACATCCAACTCTCCTGATCATCTGCTTCACGCGTTTCGGCGAAGCGATGTTCTGGGGACGGCTACTACGAGGGTATGCATACCGCGGCGTTGCGGATGCCTAGTTAATAGAATGGGTAGATTGGCGAAATAGCCGTTTGATAATCAATGCTGCAGTCCCTGATGGCAAGCCAGCGACCGCCAAAGATCCTGGAACTACCTCTCTTCGACTTTGTAGCATGCTCCAAGTCTACACTTTTGGCAAGACGTTGCGTGGGTGTGTCCGAAAGGACTCCTGCGGAAAGTAGGCAAGCTACGGGATACGATGCCTCCCGCCTGTGGGCCGAAGTCTGCCCCAACCCCACGTGTTCTGTCATAATCTTCAGCGTGGAATGTGACATGAGCTACACACCAGGCCAGATGAGTTGTACTGGAACGTATTCCGGCTCCACAGCTCGTTGCCGCACATTCGCATCTTCAGCCCATCTAGATATTTTCTGAGAGAGTCGAAACAGCCCTCTTCTGCCCGCTTGGAAATTAATGCATCCACCATCTTGGACCATTCCTCACACATCGCCCAGAGGACGGACTTTGCGTTCTCGGGCGAAAACCTGCAATCTTCCGACCGTAACTGAACGATGTTCGAGACGAGTGAACCCTGAGCGTCAATCTCTCTCTCGGCGCAACGCTCCTTATCCCAGCCGGTCACGTCGTTCACAACTGACATATGGTGGGAAAAGAAGACTTCGATGGCAGCTGTCGACTCGAGTTCGTCCTTGCTGAGATAAATACCTTGCGAGAACTGTTTCAGGGCCAGTAGCAGCCTGTGATCAGTCTGATCAGCGCGTTTGAGGGTCCTGGGATAAATTGGTGCTCACTAGGCGACTACGTCGCGTTTTCTGTACTGCAAGTAGCCGGCAATTACGATGAGCGATCTCAGGACTACTGCATACCATCCAGAAAAAAAAGCATAACTAACAACTAATAGGCAGCCGTAATACGGTCAGGCAAGGACGAGGGATACTGGCAGCAGTGCTAAGTGGGAAGTCCTTCAGCGGCGAACCTGAGTCTGGCTTTCTCGTTTAGGAATAGCCAATCTTCGAAGAAGTTCTCGTTGACGTCCGCACATACCATCAAGTCCATGCTTAGGGGGTGGCGCGATGCTGATTAACAAATGGCGCGAGTCGCGTTGCCCAGCGAGAGATTCCTGGCGGTCCTCCATCCGTGGATCGTCGCACAAGGCAAAAGGCTGTCTACGATGCGTTAGGGCTGGTATTGACCAAATCTCGCATTAAGCGAGTCGCAGCAGATGTCTAGGCTCCTCCAACCTCAAGGTCTGTGGTATTGCCAGAAGCGCCAGCCTCGAACATACAGTTGTGGCGATGGTCGGCGACTTCGTTCCTCCTAGTTTCCTCACGTACCGCACACTGGTGATCTCAGCAGAGGCTGTCGACAAATTTAGCTTGGTCCTCTTTCGCCTTGCTTGTTCCCCAAACACAGAGCAAAAGTGGCTCTTGCCATCAACATCAGAAACATATCTTGCGGGAGCAAGCCGTATGACTGATCAGCCTTTTACAGCATAGCACAGTAAAGGCTATAATCGGAATCCTCGTGGGTCTGCAATCTGCTGAAGTCATACACCCGCTCGCTGCCGACAGGAGCGAAATATGGCTCAGAAGCACTGATGTGGTCCTCGGGGCTGAAACCATTCCTATTCCAGACGTTGACCCAAGTACTGTAGGAGTTAGGGCCACGCAATACGTCACGTCTCTCCGTCGCTGCGTCGGGCATGCTGAACCCTTTAAACCCAGCGTTATTCTGGTATAAATACCATACGCGCCGACGCTTCCAGCCCAACAAGGACCAAGTCCCCGCAGGACCGAGAACAGCCACATCGCAGCCAGATGGAACGTGGTTCGGTGTCGCTGGCACATATACGCCGTTCCCATTGGCGGTTGCCTGGCCATTATTAACGCATATGTTACAGTCTGTCATTGTACTGTGTTGGCTGTATGTGACTGCCCTGGCAGCATGTTGCATCACTTGCCATCCACTTGCAGCTATTCCTGGCCCGAAGCCTGCAGCAGCGACCTTCTGATAAGAGATATGGTTCGACATTGTGCGATGAGGACGCTAAACGCATGAAGTTAAGCGGGTGCATGAGTCATACGGTGAGCAGCATCGACGGCGGCAGGTGGTCGCAGCTACAAAATGTCTCAGGCTGACCACCGCAGGCCCCATCATCTGGATCAACCCTAATAAGGTGTACTGCAGCGACCCCAATTTTATTAATACTCTATACGCCAGCGGTGAGAAGAGGCGAAATATGTTGCCGGCTTCCCTTCTGATTATATGCCCCTGGTCTGCATCATTTTATTGGCGTCTAGCTGACTATCTTGTTACACATAGTCTCCAACTGGTAAGCAAGCCATATACAGCATACATATGACTGGTGTTAAGCACATACATAGGGAGGCTTCGGCATGCTCAACCATGACCACCACCGCTCTCACAGATCCACAGCCAGCAGACATCTCTCACGGGCGCAGATATAAAGGCTCGAACGTATGGTCCACGCCGCCGCGCAAAGGCTTCGCGATAAGTTCCTCGCCCGTCGCGGACACAGCCCGTTAGAAGTTGCCGCAGCATACAGTCAACACGCGGCCGACATCATCAGCGAGTACTGCTTCGGAGAATCCTTCAGCTTCTTCCACCGACTCAGCTGTGATCACTTTAGAGAAGGTGTCTATGCCATGTTTCATCTCATACGCATCATGAGGCACTTCCCATTCGTGGCCTGGCTCTTAGACTGCGTCCCAATATATAGTCCGCCACATATGCGTTCAGCTGGATTTAGGTGACGCTAGTGGCAGGTAAAATTGCTGATGTTGGTTCAACAAGCCAAGGCTGCGTATAACGCTGGTTTATAGATGAGCTAAAACACTATGCTCTCCTCACTATTATCGTTAAATTTACCAGCTGAGGAGAAGACAGAAGAGCGGCTGCCTGGTGAGGCGAACGTTTTCCTTGCTGTTGGAATAGAAATAACGGCGATGGTCCTCAGTCTCTGCATATACTATCTCCTGAAGAAGCTGGACGTCGTGGCAAAGATGAGAGCTGAGCTGTAGGTGGTGGTGAAGGACCTGGAAGCGCTGGCTGACTGGTTCGTTCTCGAATAGCTGCTGTATCTGACTGCTGTTATAAAGGAGATGCTCCGACTGATGTATGGGCTCTCGTTGAGGTTGCTTAGAATTGCTCCTGATGAGAATGTGTGGTACTAAGGCATGTGGACTCCTCCTGCGACGATATAAGCAGTGAGCGTCAGGTATGTGATCCTCTGAGGGTGTGCTATGGGCATGTCGGCCTACCTGGTCCACATGGATGAACATCTGTTTCTGGGCCCAGCTAAGTTCGCCCCTAAGCGATGGCTTCTTAGAAACGGGAGGAAACACAGGCAACTTGAGCAGTGTCTCGTCACTTTCGGAGGGGCAGCCGACAGTGCCTAGGTATGCAGTACGTCTTTGCCCTCTTGTCTGTGGTTACCCTGTCCAGGCACCCGGCTGACCGCAGGACTTTCAACAGGCTAGCATATTGCGAACTCTATATCGCTGTCGCAGCGCTGATTTTGAGAGCTATGGGTAACATGAGGCTATTTGACATAATAGATGCTGACGTCGTATATGACTTCGATCTTGCCCTGGTAATGCCTAAGAAGGATGGTAAAGATATTTGGGTCAACATGAGCTGATTAAGCCATGTGTGGAGTGGCCACGGTCAGAAAGTCCCAGACGAACCGCCAGCAAGCGCTTCGCCATACACAACATGCAACACAGACCGCATTTTTCGTCCTGGAGTATCCTTTCCCTCGGCCTCGGCATTTTCCCTCGCAATTTCTCGTGTATATCGTCCAGGCTCAGATTCTGGAACATCGAGTGGAAGTATATGTCTTCGTGTTCAAGGGCGTGTTCCACCTATGACGGTTTTCAAGCTTATCCTTTGCGCGACGGTTTTGGCTTTGGTTTCTCCGTGGACGAGTGCCGTGGCGATTGCTTTTTGTCGTTCGGGGTACGTCGAGGATGATTGAACTGCTTCCGTTGATGTGATGTCTGCGTAATTGTGATACCGTTATCGTTGGTTCGTGTTGAATGCGCTCTATGGACCTCTTCTTGAGCCTGGGCAGATCATATCGTCGGTATGGTCGTGGTTCAGAGGCGATGACGTCCTCGTCGTCGATGCCAAGCCTGTGTTCTCCATGCTGAGAGCTCGGGCCACCTTTTCAGTCTACGACTCGGGCAATGGTGTTGCCGGAATTCATACCCATCCAGTCACTGTACATACGCGAAGAGCTCCGCCCTCGCACACAGCACTAGATGCCGCAGGGCCGGCAGGTCTTGGAAGGTGCACGCTTACCCGATCGACCGACCTTCTATTGTGCAACTATCCTATGCCAGGAGTTCTTTCGCGATTCAGGAATTCTCGCGCGAGCCGGAGGGGAAAGCAGTCCCGCCACCCACCACCGTCAGACACGCGGGCTGAGGAGCCAGTGCATGCACGCATGATGAAGGCCTCTGACGCCCCGCCCCGCCCGTCCTCAAGTGCAGACACTCTAGCAATAGACTCCACTTTGGCTCCTCCGACGTTGCTCCCACCCGGGCAGATTCTCTGCCCGGGTGGGAGAGACTGACGCATGTGCACGTCTCCTGTGGCCAGCTGCCGACTTCTACCGATCTACAGTTAAGTGGTAGTGCTGCCGATTTATCAGAAGGAGGTCGATAACTTTGCAGAAGGGACCTCCCTCTGCGGACGCATGACGCACCCGTTGTCCAAGTCCATGACCCCAAGCCCAACACTCCAGCCCATGCTTCACTTCCACGCCCTATTGTGCCTGGTTGCGACAGCTGGCACGCAAAAGGTGTTTGGTGCTGTGACACCAACCTGTGGGCCGACCCCAGCGAACTCGGCGGTTGCACTCTTTGGTCCTGCTAAGGAAGGAGAGACTTCCTTCTTCAACTAGGTGCCTTAAGGTAGCCAATTTGCTCACCAGGAAGGCAAGCCTTGAAGGTGGGGTAAGTGTGTGACTGCCCACCTCAGCCAATATGCTGTAACCCGGATGGCTGTGACAGGCGCCGGTCAGGTTCATGGTTTCCAAGGTCGGCAGCTACCTTCCCAGCTGATATTAGTCCGTCCAAGGACGACCCTAAGCTCAGGCAGGCAGGCAGGCAGGCAGGCAGACAGACAGGCAGACAGCTAGGCAGACAGGCAGGCGGCTTCAGCTAAGGTACGGGAACATGCAGGTCTGGCTCTTTCTGCTTGAAAATTGTCCTTGTTCGGTTCCACGCGCACCCGAATGACGTCACCACTGACAGAGCAGACGAGGCACAACACAACCCCAATACCACATGCCGGACGCGCCGCACAAGAAGTCACGGAAGCTGGCAACATACCTATCGTACGCTGTGGCTGGAAGTTGGCCGATCGAGGCGTCATTCCCAGATTGCTGAGCGGAGTCTACCCACGCAGCAGAGGGTTGCCCAGGACTCGGCACCGAGCATGCGTGGCACTGCAAAGGCCATCGTCGCCACCCATCCAACGATCAAGCGACCGGTTCTGCGAATGCCAAAGTTGCCAGCAACAAGTTCCTCAACTGAGTGGGCTGCCCTCCATTTGTTATTCTTTCCTTGTTCGCACACAGCGCTGATTGATATCTTAGACCACGCTCGATGGAAAGGGACCCAGTAATCCTGCCGCCGCTACCTGTATTTCAGCTCTTCGTCGATCTTTCCTTGGAGTCTTCCTCAACCTCATCCTCAAACTCTTCCTTGCCCGCTTTCTCGATCTCTTGCTCGGCCACCTTTCCGACTACTTTCTCGATACCTATTTAACATCTTGCATCCGCCCCCACGGTCACTCTGAAGCAAAAGTGTCGCGGGACGTAGCAGTCCTTCGTGTCAACGCATTCTTCCGGCGAATACACGTGGAGCAAACCTACCAGGCGTTGAACGAGACGGAATTGAAACAACACAGGATCCATCGCAGTACTCGGTTCAAGCAAGACGCTGGGAGTGGGTGGATCCCAATTCTCGGGACCCTCAGAACACCTCCTGCGGTCATGTGCAAATTTGGCAACACTCATTGGCAGAGGAAACTCAGCGGCTAAGTTTGAACTAACCAGGTTGGTAGCGGACGACCTTTGTGCTGACTAGTAACGCAGAAAGGGATATGCATAGTTGTGTTTGCCAGGCTGCTGAGGACATGTGCATGGAGTGATGACTATCTCTTGGAGGTGAAAGAGACTCTGAGGTTTATGTCGACATGTCGTGGTGATAACGCAGAGTCGGAAAGCTGTAGAGCCTCGAAGGTAAAGACCCTGGGTACTCTGATGGGGAATTGTTGCAACCTCCCGTCCAAATATCCCATCGCACAGTCTACCGCTAACCGTCGTGTCTCCTCGTATCTCTCCTATTGACAACAAGCTCGCAAAATGTCCACACATAAACACCAACACATGCTTACTCCTTACTCAGCTGGCCGGTCGCAATGTCTGTCTCCGAGGCTGAGCATCGTTTGGAGAGAGATCGCTCTCTCTCGGGGGGTTTGACCACATCCTGCTGGTATTCACAGATGAGGAATGCTACTCAAGGCTCGAACGACTTTGCGATATATAGGACTGCTCCCTGGCAAGGCAGCCGTCGTTTTCTTCTCCACGTACTACATTACAGTTAACGATTCTTCGCAGGCTCCTATCGCCCCTTCCAGGCCTGCTCCGACAGGCCACAAGAGAGCATACTTCT